TCAAGAATCATAAGACACACACACACATATATACACACACACACACATATATACACACACACACACATATATATATATATGTATATGTATATATACATACATATACATATATACATACACACACACATATGCATACACACACACACACACACACCAGTTGAATGAAATTTTGTCTCCCCTCTGCCCCCAGAGGCTCCCTCCTTGTGATACCAAATTGCTTCCCAGGCCCAATGAGGATACTTCATAGCCAACCAACCTCCGTAGATCTTGGGAAGCGAGGCAATTTCAGCCTCAGCAATTCGGGGCGGCAGACATAAGCACCTACTGCAAAGTGATGAGGTGCAATGGGGGAAGAACAGCTCTTTTCGATCAAGCCAGAAAACCACAAGCGTTACCTTTTTTCGCCTCTCAAAGTTGGGATCGTCGATGTTGTGAAAGGTGTTTTCATCGATCTCCCCTAGCCAAATGTGCTCTCCAATCCCCACCAGGCAATTGGGATTCCCTCTGCAGTTTCTCCTGTAGAAGCAAAGCCAAGGGTCGGGTTATGTTCCTGCCCATCGCCATTTTTCTCAGGAACGGTTCAGGTTGCCTTGTTTGCTAGCATTCCCCCTCCTGGTTCTAAAACCTCTTGATTTCTGGGAAGTCAAGAAAGCGAGGCCCCTCACAGTTGGGGATGGAGGATTCTGAAAAGAGCTTTGAGGGATGTCCTTGGGGACAGCCATGCTGTTGTTTGCACACAACCCGAACACTTCTTGCAAAGGAAGCTTTTTCAACAGGCTTGATGTTTCAGCTTTGCTTAAATCAGGATAAATCTGCACTAGCTGCCTCTTTCTCCGATGAAGACAGCTCTTGCTGGTCCCTTACTGCATTATATTTTGATATAAAGGTTCCCCTCCACATGTGCTAGTCACTCCCGACTCTAGAGGGCAGTGCCCATCTCTGTTTCAAAGCTAAAGAGCCAGCGCTGCCCAAAGACGTCTCCGTGGTGATGTGGCCGGCATGACTCAACACCAAAGGTACACGGAACCCTGTTACCTTCCCACCAAAGGTGTTCCTTATTTTTCTACTTGCATTTTTAACATGCTTTCGGACTACTAGGTTGGCAGAAACTCTGACAAGTAACGAGAGCTCACTCTGTTACGTGGCAGTAGGGATTCAAACTGCCAATATGCCGACCTTTCTGATCGGATCATAACCACTGAGCCACCACGTCCCCACTGCATATATATGCTCCTTAATCCTCTGAAGGGAAAAACAGAGGCTCCACTCTCAGCCTTGGTAGCTAAAAAATACATATCCAAGGAGGCAAGAGGAAAATCTGGAGAGGGTGAGACTGCCTTTGAAAATTATGATTGTTATCTATTAATACAGATTCCCACTTTAGTGACTTGGAGAGGATTTATAAAATTTTAGGAAGAACTTCTAAACTAAAAAATTAAATCTTCCAGAGTAGAGGCCATCTTGCAATTACTGCCCTCCTTAATTCAACCGTATTATTTTGCAAGATCCTTATTGTGGCTGTCTTTTCTGTCAAGGCATAAGTACCAATAATAATAAAAAAACAATAAGGCACCAATGAAAATAATATAACAACTAGTGTCTGAAAAGAGATAAAAATACTCCTACTCCCACATACCCTGAAATTAGCAAAATACAAAAGCTGAAAGGCAGGGATGTAAACCAGGCTTCCTTTTATGTGGTTTTTTTGTTTTGACAGCAAGAACAATAATTGAGGGATCTGATAATGGAAGCAAGCAAAGCTTGTCATTAGCTCCTACAGCTAGCAAAAAAGCAGGTGTCCTTGTAAACAATAACTGTGCTAAGGTAATTTATCATTTATTAAAGACGATTCCTTATGTGTCCCCTGCAGCTGCTAATCGATTGTGCAAAGCTATTTACCAAGGAAAATATTTAATTAGTAAAGTAAAAGCAATCATGCTTTTCCCACCCAATGGGCAAATAATCATAAAATAACAGTATTACAGCTATGCTAACCCATAAAGGGGAGAGGGGGGGGAACTCTCTTTCATGGTTGACAAAACTTAATTAGCATCAGGCGCAATGCCACCCTGGCTTCTAACCAGGTGAATGAACAACGTAGGACCTTGGATCCACCTGGGCAGCATTTTGTAGGATGCCAATGAAGGTGCGATACAATTGGGATTATTTGTATTTTTTTTTTTTAAAAAGGAAGCTGCCCCACTGCCCTGGCTAGAAACACTATATATTATAGATAGACATGTATGTATGTATGTATGTATGTATGTATNAAAGCACAACAAAGAATGTTCTTTCTGCACCAATTCAGGAAGCTCAAACTGCCCAAAGAGCTGCTGATTCTGTTCTACAGAGGAATTATTGAGTCTGTCGTCTGCACCTCCATAACTGTCTCGTTTGGCTCTGCATCCAAACAAGACAGACCCAGACTTCAATGGATAATCAGAACTGCAGAAAAAACAATGGCTGCCAACCTGCCTTCCATCGAAGACCTGTATACTGCATGAGTCAAAAAGAGGGCTGTGAAAATATCTACAGACCCCTCACATCCTGGGCATAAATTGTTTCAACTCTTACCTTCAAAACGACGCTATAGGGCACTACACACTAGAACAACTAGACACAAGGACAGTTTTCCCTCGAATGCCATCACTCTGCTAAGCAACTAATTCCAACACTGTCATATTACCTACTAACTGTATTACTATTATTCTTCTCTTCTTTCCTAGTACCTATCTCTTCCCACTTATGACTATAACTATGTTGCTTGTTATCTTTAAAATTTATATTGTTTTATTTGTTTCCTAGTACGATTTGATTGGTTATTAGTAACCTATGAGTGTTGTGTCTTATGATTCTTGATGAATGTATTCTATTTTATTTTTCTTTATGTACACAGAGAGCATACGCACCAGACAAATTCCTTGTGTGTCCAACCACACTTGGCCAATAAAGAATTCTATTAACTTGCACCAGCTCAGAAATGGTTTCCCATCACAAGAGAAACCAGACTCACAATTTCGCAGCTTTGAAAATACATTAAAAAAGACCAGTTTTTGTTTAAAAAGAATATGTATGTATGTATGTGTGTGTGTATATATATATATGTATGTGTGTGTATGTATGTGTGTGTGTATATAGAGCACAGGTTCGATTCCCAATAAGGGTGTGGCTAGCTGATGAGAGCTAAAGAGCTTGAAATAGATCTATACTAGTCTCCCTTTATTTATCAGCATAAATATAACATACACACACACACACACACACACACACACACACACACACATATATACATATATACATATATACATATATACATATATACATATATACATA